AAACCTAAAGTTTATGCTCTATGAAACTAAAAGAAGTTACTAAAACAGGAAAATGGTACAAACACTTCTCAAGCATTTACTGAGAAAACTGATATTAAATGGTTTGGGGAAGTTTTTAAAGAAAGATAATTGGAGCATCAGAACCAACATTTCCACAAACTTCTTAAACTTGACAATCTTTTCAGCATACTAAACCATAACTGAATTTAAAATCAATTAAAAGTCAACATTGAGAGATGTTTCACCTTTGAACTAAATCTATGTACCTGATAACTTCTCCTCTTAAAGTCCCCCAGGCATCACAGAAAATGTATTACATTAAAAAGTCTCCTGTATTTTAAAAATGTCAGTTATAAATATTAAAGCACAGATTACACTATTTTCTACAAATGAAAAGATGTATCGTTAATATTAGTAATCTAACGGCTCTCATTTGCCCAGCCTCATTGTATCATGTTATATGCTCATACTCTGGGTAAGTCTAAGAGACAGACAGTTTATAAATTGAAGAAAGCCTGTCATTCAACAAGGCCAACTTGCTTTCAGGCAAGATGGCCCTATGTGAAATGAAATAAGTAGCCACATTCTATTTGCTGCTTGTTCTCAGCAATATACTTAAAAATGTAAACCAAATATTGAATTTATGAGAATATATTTAAGCTTAATGAAAGCAACATGCAATTCTAAAACAGAGGCAACGGCAGATTTTTCACAACCTGAGAGACAGTGAAACTCATACAATTTGTTATTCTTTAGTAATATACTCAAAAATAACTGCATGTAATGAGCTTCTAATTTCAGAACAATATCACAAAAAAACATCTAAATCAAGGTTAAAAGATTTTAATTAAGTGTCAATTGCTTTCAAACTGCAGTTTAAGCTAATTTTCAGATAGAATTCAAACACTGGATTTCTTACTTTGGATAAGAGTAAGAAGAATGAAAATCCTCAGAAATTGTATGCAAATGTCCATATGTTCACTTTATTGGAGAGACAGCAATACGTCTCATTATATTCCTAAAGGGGTCTATAGCTCACAAAAGGAACTACTACTTTATGTTCTTTGCTGCTCAAAAGTTAATATATTGTTAGTCCCATCACTTATACAACTTCAGTAAATTATGAAAGCAATTTTTTTTTTAATCCAGAGTTAACTTGGGTTCTGCAAAATCATTTTTAAGCCAATGGTAAAAGGAAATTTTATTAAAAACCCTTCAGTGAATTTAATGTCTCGCAGGCTAATTTCTTTCAATAGTCCCTTCGAGGAATTATACAACTGATTTCTTTGGTCAAGAAATTTATTTTATAGCTATTAACATAAAGACAAGAAACAAGTGTTGGAGAGGATGTGGAGAAAAGAGAACCCTTGTACACTATTGGTGGGAATGTAAATTGGTGCAGCCACTATGGAAAACAGTATGAAGGTTCCTCAAAAAATTAAAAATATGGGGCCGGCCGAGTGGCACGATGGTTAAGAACTGGCTTGGGACGCCAGAGGGCCCCGGTTCGGATCCCACATATCAGGGCCAGTGACACTGCCCTCCACAGCTAAGATGCTGAACAACAGCTCAACCTAGAGCTGGGCTGCCGTGAGTCGCCAGCGACGGCGTAGGCTGCAGCCCCTGTGGCAGTGGGTTGCCATGGGCTACTGTATGTTGCCAGCAGCCAGCGTGAGCGTCCAGCAGCCGCCGGGAGCGGCCGTCCAGAAGCCGGTGACTGATCTGCCTCACCCAGGAAGAGCGCAATGATGGTGCCAACTTGGGCCAGTGAAGCAATGTCCTCCACAACTAGACTGAAGAACAAAAGGACAGCAACTTGTCTGTTCCCCTTCCCCCAATTCTCCAGCACTGTTCCCATTACCCCAATTCCCCAATAAAAATCTTAAAAAAAAAAAAATTAAAAATAGAATTATCCCAGGAAAGCAAGAGTGGTTTAACATTTGAAAATCAATTAGTACACTACACTATATCAGTAAAATTAAGAAGACCACATGATTATCTCAATACAAGAACAAAGAGCACTAACAAAGCCCTTCACAATTAAAAAATAAAATTCACTCAACAAACTACGAATAGAAGACAACTTCTTCAACTTGGAAAGAGACATCTATGAGCTGTGAGTTAACATCATATTAATGGTGAAACACTAAATATCTTCTCTCTAAGATCAGAAACAAGATAAGAATGTCCACTCTCACCAGCCTTATTCAATATTGTACTAGAGCTTCTAGCCAGAGCAATTAGGCAAGAAAATGAAATGAAAATCACATAGGTTAGAAAAAAGTAAAACTATCTCTATTTGCAGATAATATGATCTTCCAAATAGAAAATCCTAAGGAATCCATTAAACAACTTTAAAACTAATTCATTAGTTCATCAACATTGCAGGATACAAGATCAATAAACAAAAATCAATTTATTTCGGCACAGTAGCAATGAACGAAACGAAAATGAAATTAAGAAAAATTCCATTTACAATAGCATCAAAAAGAATAAATTAGGGATAAAATTAACAAAAGAAGTATAAAACTTATACTCTGAAACTATAAAACTTAGAAATTAAGATCTAAATAAATGGAAAGACATCCCATATATATGGATTAGAAAATTTAATGTTAAAATGGCAATACTCTCCAGATTAACTTGCAGATTCACTGCAATCCCCATCAAAATCTCAGTTGCCTTTTTTGCAGAAATTGACAAGCTGATTATAGAATTCACATGGAAATGCAAGGGACCCAGAATAGGCAAAACAATATTGATAGAGAATAAACTGGAGGATTCACACTTCTGATTTCAAAACTTACTACTAAACTGCTGTAATCAAGGAAGTGTCATACTGGCATAAGGACAGGTATACAGATCAACAGAACAGACTCAACAGTCCACAAATAAACCCTCACATTTATTGTCAATTAGTTTTTGACAAAGGTACCAAGGCCAATCAGTGGAGAAAGAACAATCTTTTCAACAAATATTATAGGGTCAAATGGATATCCACATGCAAAAGAATGAAGTTAGACCACTACCTCACACCAGATACAAAAGTTAACTCAAATGGATCAAAGATCTAAATGCAAGAGTTAAAACTATAAAATTCTTGGAAGAAACCATAGGTATAAATCTTCATGATCTCAGATTAGGCAATGGTTTCTTAGGTATGACACCATGCACAAGAAATGTAAGATAAAACAGATAAATTAGACATCAAAATTAAAAACTTGTGCTTCAAAGGACACAATTAAGAAAGTGAAAAGGGATGCAGAGAATGGGAGAAAAATTTTGAAAATCCTATGTCTGATAAGAGGCTTGAATCTAGAATATTTAAAGAACTCCTACAACTTAATAACAAAAAGACTTTCCAATTAAAGAATGAGCAAAGAAATCTGATTACACATTTTCCAAAGAAGATATGCAAATAATCAGTAAGCACATGAAAAGATGCTCACAATCATTTAGTATTGGGTGAGGGGAGTGAGGAAACTTTTACTGGTACCCTTCTCTGTGTCAGTTTAGGGAAAAAAGAAAGAATAGCCCTGTATTATTTTTATTACTTACATTATGATTTCTTTTTTGCCTCATGATTTACAAGAGAGGGTTGGACAGTTTTTTAAACACACAGTAAGAATGAATTGGTTATCTTTTTGTCATTGCTTTCCAATTTTGTTTCACTATAATCAGAAACCAAATGATCTGTATGACACTGTCTCCACACTATTTAAGTTGCTTTGTGGACTACTGGGTCATAGATTTGTATTAATATTCTAAGTATACTTCATAAAATGAATACTCTTTAACTATTAGCTGCAAAGCTCTATACATATTCATTAGATCAACCTTGCTATTGCGTTGTTCAAATCTTCTATGGTCTTAAATTTATGCCTGTCTGGTCTTAAAGACTTTCAAAGATAGATGCGAGTATCTCCAAGGAAGATTATATTTTCTTCATTTCTCCTTATAATTATGGCAATTTTTGTTTGGTATTTTGAGACTATAATATTTGGTCCAGATTCAGGTTTATTACATCTCTCAGGAGAATCGTTCCTTGTATCATTCTACAATGGTCTCCTCATTATTTGCTTTAAGTCTTGTTTTGTCTGATATTAACATTATTCTATCAGCTCTTCCAGTTAGTATTTCTGTATCAGAGTTGATCAGAGAAGTAAAACCACTGTGAATGATAAAAATAAGAGGTTATCATAGGGATGTGAGCATTAACTGTCGGAGCTGGTTAAATAGTTTATATAGAACTGTTGCCTCTGTATCTAGTGTCGGGACGGAAATTGGGGGCAGGCAATCGGCAAGGAAATATGGAGTGACACGGGGAAAGCAACAACAGACTGGAACTCCCACTCTCGCTCACCAATCTCAATGATGTGGGTGACCTGCAGTGTAAGTGGGCACCCTTCCACTACAGCACCCACACATCTGGTCTCAGAATTCAGAGAAGCTTCAGGAGAAGATCCAGTGAGGACTTAGAGGAGCTTGAGGCCCAGCCGTTGCCTGAGGCCAACAGATCAGCAGTGAGGTGTATGAACCGCAACAGTGCCTGACTCCACACCAGCCTTCTGAGCATAAACACAGCTGCTTCACTTCCTCCTTACAAATCTTGTGCAAATGTCCCTTGTGGCCAGCCCAACCCAGAACCGTCTTGGAAAGGGAATTCTAGGAAAAGGAGCTCTAGCTCGGGTATGCTGACATAATACAAAGCCACCACAATAAGCATGGATAGTTTCTCCCACCTCTTTAATTTTATTCTTTCTGTATAATTATGTTTTACGTCTGTCTCCTGTAATTAGCGCATAGCTGGGTTTTTCTTTCATCCTATTAGGCTCTGTCTTTTAATTATCAAGTTTAATCTATTTACATTTATTGGAATTTGTGATTCTCATAACTTAAAAAACTTTTATTTCATTAAAAAAATGAAGTAATATCTATACTGAAGATATGTGCATGATTTGCATTTCTGAAGTATTTCATACACATAACTTGTTACTTACCACTTCTCCAGCAGAGGCAGCCAACATATGCTTCACAGGCATCAAATATGAAGATGAATCAGTGTGCAAAAACCATTTCACATATTCATAGGTGATAAAAAAGGCAGCAGCTGAAATTTGAAACAAACCAGTCTTTCACAAAGTTTAAATATATATTCAAGCTGTTAAGAAAAACGTTTCTCAGAAAAGTTACAACTCCAATTAATAAATTATAACAGATAAAGATAGTAAACACATACTCTTCCCCCCCACCCCTAACTCTTGCAGAATTTACTGAGCCTATGTTATATGCCTAACCCTGGACTTACAAAAATGCAGAAGACATGATACCTGCCCCAAGGGAACTTAACAGCTAACCTAGCATTTACTACTTTGTATTAACAAGTCACTTAACATTTTTTAGTAAGCTTTCTACAAAGGGATATAAATTTCTGTGATCCAAATATCTTTATATACAGTCATAAAATAATCAACGTCATTGATTTATGCAAACATATACTTTAAGTAAAACATCTAACAATATTTTATTGCTGCTTATTCAAAATAACCATGGATACTTTTTACTACATCAACTCACCTTTACATCAAGGAAACAATCAACTATTTAATTAAAACTGGAAATCAAGATCTCAGAAAAGCTACCATTATTACCATGAATTAATCTTAGCTGCACAACAGGGCTTAAAGACTTACCATGTACTGTTAATCAAAAGATGTTTATCACTTTCATAAAAGATAAGGCATGAAAGATAAATGAATGACCACCTCATCTTTTGAAGGACATCTGAACATGTCACATTGAAGTCTGAAACACTTTGGAAAAGAGTTTGATAGTAAAAATTAGTTATCCACAGTTAAAGAAAGTCAACAAGCTTGTAATAGCTGCTCAGGCTGTTAATAAATGAACATCAGGACAAGTGAAGAAGCACACTGTCCCCCTGGAGTAATGACCCATGCAAGCAATTTTATGTGGTGAATACAGGGCCTTATTCCCATTTGTGGTTCTTTCCCTACTTTGGCCACTCACTAAATGTACAGCTAGAACATCGCCAATTGCATTCAGCTGTAAGTTCCACCTGCTACAAAATCCACCCTCCCACCCCCACCCGCAGAGAGAAAGGAGAAAGACAGTGTTCAAAGTTTCTAGGTTTTCATGGCAAACCACCTCGACCTGGTCAAATTTAATTGCTACTTTATGACAGACAAAGTCCTTTAGAAATGTGAGTCCCAAACTCTCCTGGGTGACACCCAAGAAAGCCCTTGCTAATTGGAAATGATGGCACAATCAGGTTCCAAACGAGGATCTAGGCAAGTTACAACAAAGAAGGGGGTTGGGCTATCTGATACCTGCAGTCTCTTCCAGCTCATCTAAAAAAAAAAAAAGCTATTATGTTTTTTCACATTACTTTCTAAACAGGGTGTAAGGATTCTGAATACAGATCTTTCTGCCTCCTCTTTCGATCCTGAGTCCCTTCCATCCCCAACTCCTCACCCCTGCAGAATACGTTCTCAAAAATGACTACGGCCACTGAATGTTACATTGGTACACTACTCAGACTAGAACCTTAACCAACAGCAAAAGAAAAAGAGGTTCCATGGGAAATTTCACTTCACCAAAAACTTACAGAAAAACAAAAAAGACCATTTCTGAAATCGTGGCACTTTGACTACTTATCCAGCATCTCCCATTCATTGATGTTCCGTGGATGGCAAAAAAGAAAAGCCTAGCAAGAACACCACTTTCTCACACACAATAAAGTTCAAAATCACATTCTGTATGTAATCTGCTGGCAAGAATCTAAACTAGTTCTGTGAGCTTAAGGCAGCACCACGTACCCTACAGGCTATCGCTAATACTACATCTATCAACAGTAATTCCTAGGTGCAATATGTGAGAATAAAAGCTCTTTAGAGTATTGAGGGAGACACCATAAAAACTGATGACCAAAAGATAGGGACCTAGCAACATATTCCTTTGCAATTCCCAAATTTGTCTGTATATTAAAATCACCTGGGAACCTTAGCCCAATTAAATCACAATCTCTGGAAGTGTGACACAGATTTTTTTTTTTAATCTCTTCAGGTGATCAGGCGATTGCAATGTGGTCAAACTTAGGAACCACTGTCCCTCTCCCACATATAAAGCTATGCTTAGCACTGAGTGGGTGCTCAACGTGCTATAATCAATTACGGAAAGTATTAACACAATGGAAGTTCAAGGAGAACCTCAAAACAGTTTGCTGTTCTAAGGACGACTGGAGGAGGAGGGAGAGGAGAAAGAAACAAAGGCATCGAAACACGATTTTTCTCTGTGCACTACAAATCTTTATATGAATGCTGTGCTCACAGATGGACATAGATGGACATTTAAATGTCAAGGGAACATGAAAGAATTTCTCATGAATTATCCTGAGAAAAAAGAAATCAAACCCCAGAATTTAAGAATCTAAATTTAAGACCTAGAGCAGAGGTCCTATGAGAGAGAGAGAGAGAGAGAGAGAGAGAGAGAGAGAGAGAGAGAGAGAGAGAGAGACTGAGAGACTGACTGACTGACTGACTGACTGACTGACTGAGGTTTTTTGTTTGCTTGGTTTGCTTTTGAATGCCACTTAAAGCATCAGTAAACAATTAAAATGAAGTGTCTGAAAAAGGTATACCAGCAAGTAGATTAAGTAAAACAGATGACACTGATTCTAGAATACGAAGGCCATACATCATATAATGTGATTTCAAATCCCAAACAAAAGCAAGACCCTGGAAGGAGGGTATCCAGGGGATTAGCAGGAACTGGCTGCATCATCTCAGAGCGATTCAGTTAAGATGGGGAGGTTTAACGCCTCTTGGATTCCTCTGCTCCAGGAGACTCTCTGAGGCAGCAGTTTTTAAACTCAGCTTCACACCAGAATCACCTGGGAAGCTACTAACACCCCTGATACTCAGGCAAAGCCCAGACCAATTAAACTTCTGGGAGTGACACATGATCAGTAATTTTTAAAGCTTCCCAAGCGATTCTACTTATGTGCAGGCGAGGTTGAGAAACTCAGCTCCAAGGCATCACAATCAATGTTTGAATACTTTAAGGATTCTAACTGGGAATTTTAACAAAAACCATTTTTAAAAGATTGCTCATATTTTTTTCTATTACAAATACAATGGAATAGGTTCTACAGCTGTTTCAAAAGTAATGGGGTTAATGAATAGAAAACAAATTCAGAAGATAAGCCACAATGCATAAGAAATTCTATATGGGGTAACACCACATTACCATTCTGAAAATAAATCCTATTGTCTTGGCTTTATAGCAGTGAAAATATCAATATAATTTTTACCATTAGGAAAGGATCCAATAGCAGCAGAAGGAACGCCAGCATATATTCCACGAAAACCACCGGCTTTATTAAATCCTTGGGGACTCTGCAGCCTCGTTTTAATGGTATCCAGAGGAAATAATATCAAGTCAACAGACACACCTGCTACCCCACCAGCCTTTTAAAAAAGGCAGGGGGTGGGGGGGGAGGTAAGAAAAGGAAAACTAAGGTTACAATAAAATAAGCTCTCTGCCATTTCAGCGTAGGCATAAAAAGGGAGTCTTTAAAGCATATTTCTCATACCTATCAGTCCACGAGCTATTTGCCACAGTCAAAGAACCTTCCACCTAAATGTAGATTTTCCTGGGGAAATAACCATTATTGTGCTATATTTCCAAATTGTACATTTTTAAATAAATTTTTAAATGACTGTTTTAATCAATTTATTTTAAAATACATTTTAAATTCATTTTTAATACTCTCACATGGTTCAAAAAAGTAAACAAGCAAACAAATTCAGAAAGGTAAAGTTCAAACTCCTTCCATGTTCCTAGTAACTCAGGTAACCATTTTATTGGTTTTACTGTATCCTTCCAAAGTGACTTTAGGCATATATAAGCAAACATGAATATGTATTTTATTTTCCTTTTTAAAAAAAATAAAAGCTGTATACAATATACACAGTGCTGAACTTTATTTTTTTCACTTAATTTATCTTGGAGACCTTTCCATATCAGACCAAATATTACATTTTTGTCTTTAACTAATGACTAGTGAATCTGTAGTTAAGGCTTTTGGGGGCAGGGAAGGATGGGGGTAGGGGAATACTTCTATTTTGAAACAGGTAATGATCCTTATGAATCTAGATCTATATTTTAAGAGTCATATATCTAAGGATTCCTATTGTATTATACTTTGTGTACATTTGAAAATTCCTTGATAATTTTTTTTAATTATGTGAATAAGTGGGAAGAAAATAAGAGCTAAACTCCTAGAGGACTTTAAAACTTGGCCCAAACTAGTCATCTCCCAAGAGACACCATGTTGCTTTGTAAAGCTGCACTTTAAAAACTAAGTTTGGGCCGGCCGAGTGGCGTGTTGGTTAAGAGCTGGCTTGGGACCCCAGCTATGAGCAGCAGGGCCCCGGTTCGGATCCCACATTAGGGCCCAGTGACGCTGCGCCCTCTACAGCTAAGATGGTGAACAACAGCTTGACCTGGAGCTGGGCTGCCGTATGAGTCGCCAGTGACGGCATAGGCTGCCATGAGCTATCATGAGTGGCTGGCAGCCAGCGTGAGCGGCCGGCAGCCGGAGTGAGCTGCCAAGAGCCACCATGAGCGGCTGTCCAGTCGCCGGCTATCCAGTTGCCTCAGCCGGGAAGAGCACAATGATAATGCCAACATGGGCCAGTGAAGCGACGTCCTCCACAACTAGACTGAAGAACAAAAGAACAGCAACTTGTCTGTTCCCCTTCCTCGATTCCCCAATAAAATCTTTAATAAATAAATAAATAAATAAAACTAAGTTTGAACCTCATAATTACATGGAGCATATGTAGAATATTTAAAAACTGGTTACACCTTAGTCACAGCAAAAAAACATTCAGAAAAATATGAACTAAAAGACAGTGTCAAAGAAAGGCCAATACACAAGGTCTAAAAGCATCATTTAAAGATGTGAGTCAAAACCAGTTTACTGTAAACAGATGGAAGAATTTAAAAGAAATAACTCTCAATATGGTTTATACATAGTAATATTTAAACTGAATTGTTAACTTTTCTTATCTTTTGAATTTTTAACTCTGTGAATATATCACCTATTCAAAAAGTTAAAATATACATTATAAATAACAAAACATAGATAAATTAGTATTATTCCAACAGGCAAAATTCTAAATGATCAGCTGCTTCCACCCTCTGGGTTTACAACATGCACAGGGGGCACAAAGCTTAGAGCCTGGCGCATGGTCCCTGCCCTACTTACCCCTCATCGTAAAACCACTGGAAAAATGAAATTACTCCAACGAGAAATCCAATAATTAACTAGCATAGGTAAATTATTAAAAATTAATTTATGCTAGAAAAGTACACTACCATAAACATTAATACTATATGATATGATCAGCCTGAAAGACATGACAGAACCTCAAAGACCATAAAGGTCTACTCTGAGAAAGGCCTAAAAAGATATCACCAAATAACACAGATGTGCCAGTAAAGCACCGCAAGTGGGAGCAAAAGAATGACAAAGTGGGGTTTCTCTCTGGATAGAAAGGTGGCCTTTTCTAAGTCATGGGGAAAGTGGGGGGGAAAGCCAACCTTTTCCAACATTTTTCTCACTTATTTTTAAAGGATTTTATAAAATTCAGTATGTCAATAAAATATTTTGCCTGCCTCTTCATTTTCTCAAAACACGAAAACTCAAATCCTGCTGAGACTGTCTAATATGATCGGATTCGTTAAAAACAGGCTGCACTTCATTCTAATTTTCTCTTTAATCTTAGAAGAGGTTTCAGAGAGATGCTTGCTATCTACTCCTAAATTTTAATCAATAAGGTAATTATTCTTTCAATCTATTTGGCTACTTTGCATGCATTGTTTCTCTAACCTTTCTTTCATCAGAACTCTTATCTTCTGAGAATAAAATGACCAGATTGAATCTACTTATCTACTAAAACATAAATCAAAAGTTGCTAATTGCTTCTGCAGATTTTAAACTTCTGTAACTCAAATGTCATTTAAATTCATGAGACTAAAAAAAAAACCCAATTAATAGAGAGCAGAAAGAAGAATAAGAAATACTTATATATGTATTCACACAGCAACATATTTAAAATTTAAACAAAAACTTTAAGGAGTGCCTATCATTTTGTATCAATGTTGTTTTGTACATAATTATGTACAAAATATACAAACCAATATCACCTGAATTACAAGGACTCTCCCAAATCTTTTACTTTTTTAGCCTGAGAAGGTTGTTTTATTTACGATCATTTATCAAAAAGGTTATCAGGCAAACAATTAGATTCAAGATTTATGGTAGCTTACACTGAAAATGGTTAAGAACTAGACAAAATCCAAAGATATAGAACATAACCCAGACAACTAGCAAGCCTAACTACAGCATAACAATTTATTGCAACCTTGATAAAATACATACAGATAAAATACACCTTTCTACCTTAAGTTAATAAATGTAAAAAGTACTGGCAGTTTGGAGAGAGGAAGTATCTAATTAGGGCTTTGAAATTACTCTGGGAGTTGAAAAAAAAGTCAAGATTACATGCTATAAAACTTCTATTTTGCAAAAGGAGGCTGGCACAACAGCAGAAAAAATCATTGCTGCTCAACTACAGGAAAAACGCAAACCACCTGTCTAAATAAGCAGAATCATTACAGGCCACTGGACCAAACTACAGCTAAGAAGAACCAGACAAAACATTAACATGGCTTCTGGGGGCAGGGGGGACATCCCTCCTGACATACCCTGTTTCCTCCACCACGAAGTGGCCACCACTGACTTGAAGCACCTCCTCCTTAGAGACCTGCGGCTTCTGCTTCCTGTGACACTACCTTCTTCCCCATTCCCCATTTATTCTCCCTGCAGTGCTCCTTCCCACTTCTACACTAAGGAAGTCATTTTATAAAGTGCAAATTTCAATTTCATCTTGCCGCTCTCCAGCCTCTAAGTCCTCCAAACTCTCCAACAGCACAAGTTCTGGACCCCATCTGCCTGTCCACCCTCAGCTCCATCATTTGCCCTTTGCTTAGTTCCTTCTTGCCTCCTTGAGCTGTCTTTGCCTCAAAGTCATCTGATCTTCCTCATTTCTAGGAAATGTCCAGCTGTGTTCCAGTCCCCCAGCCTAGGATTAGACCCTCTTGTTTCCACACGCTGATCACAATTTTAATTCTATAGTTGAGCATTTAACCATTGTCGGTATGTCCCCCTAGGAGACGTTAAGATCCATACCTGTTTTATTCACCAATATTTGTTCCCAATACCAGTACACTGCAGCAACTCAACTATTTGAAGAATGCATAAATTAGTAACTATAATGTAGGGTTACTACCCATATTTTAGAGGGTACTTACAAGACAACCTAAAAAAAGTACATCAAATTTTTTTGAAAATTGTAAAACAGAACCAAGCAATTCCCAAAAAGAAAATGTAAATAGCCAACAAAATTATGAAAATATGCTTCCCCATCATTAATAATCAAAAAAACAAACTAAAACATTTTCTCAATAAAATTTAAAAGGTTAAAAATTATGAAGAATAGTTATGGGCACTATGAAGGGAAACAAATTATTATAATCTATTGAAGGACAATGTGGCAAAATGAAAATGTTAAATTGTAAAACCCTGATCCAGCTATTTTATTTCTAAATATTTCTCCCACAGAAATAAATGTATAAATATACAAGAATGTTTACTACCTCATTGTTTGTAACAATAAAAAACTGGAAATAAACTAAAAGTCTATCCTAGCGGTCTTGCTGGAAAAATTCTTATATCCAAGTAATGAATTGGTACAGTCTTTAAAAGAATGAGGTCATCTGAACTCACTGGTACAGAAACATGTTATATTCTTAAATTCATCAAATACGCTATAGAGCACTCTAGGCTTTATAATCCCACCTTTGAAAGAAATATGTATCTATTTATATATGCATAATTAGAAGTCCAGAAGCATACACACTAAATTGCTAGAAGTTATTACCTCTTTGGAAAGAAATTCAAGATGAGTATTTTTACTATGTTAATTTTTGTATTGTTCCAAGTTTTGTAATGAGTGTTACAAACATAAAAAAAGAAAAGCTTTCAAAATACTTTCCCATCAAAAAAAAAAATCCAAATTCACTGGTTGCAATTGGAATGTAGGACGCACTCAGTAAGTGGTAACTAGAACCTGGACCCGTGGATTCTAAACTACCTGTCCAGCTTCATTTCACAACCTAACGAACCTTGAGCCTCATCCAATCTGACTATTCTGTTTCCCAACATGTCGCAAGCTTCTCATTTCTGTGCTCCTACTTAGGCTTTCTCTCAACAGAATGCCATTCCTATACCCTTGTCTCCTGATTATGCAGCCAGCAGCCACTTGCTCCCCTGTGGCCGCCATGCTCGCACGCAGGTGCAGGTACGTGCACACACGCCAAAATCCTCTTCATAGTTAAGGCTGTGACCAAATGCCACATCCTTCCTAAAGCCCTTCCCAATCTCCCAATCAGAATTAAGTGCTATCTCCTTGACTTCCCCATTTAACTTAGCTTCTGTTTCACTTTGGGTACTAACCATCACGTCTGACATCAAGACCCTTCAGAGTAGAAGCCAGGTTAGTCACCTTTGCCTTCGTAAATATC